ATCATTAAATCTTGTGGAAATAAAAGACTAACTCCTCAATACTTAACACTTTTAACACTAACACTGATACATGTATATATTCTTTATACTTAGGTTTGCATCACGACAAGATCAGAATCATCCAGAAACATGGATGGGTTCAAAATGCACCTGTCCATTGTGCCGCAGTTGTTTCTGTATGCTGGATGTGTGTCAGGTGCATTCTAGATGATACTGTTTTTTGTCAGCGAAAGGCCGTTTCTTATACAAAAACTGCTTGACGTGCTGGATACAGCTGTGTAAAGAATGCCAGTGACTAAATAAATTATTTAATTTGTTTTGTTAATTTTGTACATCAGGTCACTTATTTATACTTGTGCTTTCCAGTGCACTAAACCTTTGTCAGAGGTTAGAAATTAATATTTTAGAAGCTGAAAACATCAGATTTGACTTGTGTTTCAAACATGATATGTGACCAGCTGTACAGGTGTAATTAATGAGTTAGTAATTTTAAATTTTTGCTTATTTTACCCAATTTTTAATTAATTAATCCTGAAATGTGTGTCCTTGAATTGATTTTGTTGTAACTATTAATGGAAGAACCGAATTTTATCACAGCCAGATTTACTGTAACACTCGTTCCACCCTTCTCATGGTGGAGGCATGGAAGGACTTCTTGAGCAGAGTATCAATCAAAAAATCAGTCAAACTTTTCAACCATTACCACTGAATGAACTCAAAATTTTAATTCTTATATTGGAAGAATGCCAAACAATTCTTCTTAAGTAGGATTTGAGGTTTTCATGGCAGTGAGTACAAAGATAGCTGATGATGGAGGCAGCAAGGACATCTGAAACGTTGTTAAACTTCTACCAGACTGCACAGCACTACTACCCAGAAGACAGCCATCTTATTACTTCTTAAATTTTCACTAAGGAAGCATCATTGCATGTTTATTGATGCTGAGTATCACCATTTTGAACATTTATTTTATATCCAGCAATAAAATCTTCATAGAATTCTTGCTCCCCTATTCTTATTTTTCTAACATTCAGGTAATGAATAATGAGTCTTGACCACCGAGAATCAGACCTATGTTTATATGACATTTCTGACTGGGAATGGCCTCAGGAATAAGTTCCTGAAGTTGCAACATTAAGTTGTGAATCACCCTCTACATGTGCCCCAAAGGGATCACCTGCTTCAGCCATGTGGCCTTTGGCACAACACCTCACACCTTGACCTTGACAGACTATGGTTCTTTTAACTGTCCCTAGAGACATTACCTCCCTCTGCAACATGGATGTCACGGTTGGGTTTTGGGAAGGGAATTTATGTTGATATGCCATATTTTGGAAAGGTACTTCTGCGAGTAATGTTAGATCTGTTCAAATGCATATGATACAAATCAAGATACGTGAAACACTAAGAGGAGTATTTTCCTTGGAAGCGTTGAAGCAAGAACGAAGGTGGAAAGACTATAAGTGCTCCAGTTTTCACTTCCATTAATAAAGAAAACATAATCTAATTTAAATAGTTATTCAAATGTCACTTGATACTGACCTTTCTTAATTTGGCCTTTTGTTGCTTCCATGAGGAAAAGATAAATTGCTTCTGGTAATGTCAATGTATTTACCAAATGGAAATAAAATTGAATTTTGAAAAATGTATGCCTTATTCAATTACAGGTAACCCCTCGATTTACGTCGGGGATGCATTCCTGGACGAACGGGCGTAAATTGAAACTCTTTTTATAATATAAATCAATGGGAAGTCAATGACATGCGTTCCCAGCACCCAAACATTGACGAGTAATATAATGACATTACATTTAAAGCTCTGAAATAACGCCAATAAAATAAAGGCAATTTAAAAAATATATTTTATACACTTACAATCGGCAATTCGTTGTTCCCTCGATTGACTGAGATTCTTTCATGTGATTGATGTGTACAGTCATCTCTGCTGTTATGCGATAGTAGAATTCATGTAAGACGCCGGCCTATAGAAAATCGCGTAGTAAAAATAACCCCGGCACCTCCGCGAAGATTAAATTAGTCCTTTGAAAGTTTAAAGCGCCAGGAATGAAATTGCATAAGAGCAAACTCGCATATGAAAAAGTTTGCATTTCACAAACAGCTTTTACCGATTCATCGATCTCATTGGAGCGTTAACGAAACATACGTAATTACAGAGATGACTGCATTTATAATTTTTATTCAAAATCAGCGATGTACGAATTACGATTTAGTATAAGAATCAGTACGAGAAACATTGTAAAACGTTATAATAGTAAAATATATTTTTTTCACATTTTGACTTGCTGGTTTCAAAATCGGCGCAAATTGAACCGTCGCAAATCGAGGGTTACCTGTACTGTAAAACTAATATGAAATGAATAATTGCACAATATATCATGTTAGAACCAGTCACATATGACATTCGAGATTTGAAAGACTGTCCTGGGTTCGATTTCCGATTAAAGTGGATTTTGTGACTCCAAAACTAAGCAAAATAGAAGAACAGCGCCAAGACCAGTTGTTTCGGTGAGGAGGTTATGGGAACAAAAGCCACTACACCGAAAATTCCGGGGTTCGAGTCCTGAAAAAGAATATTTCTGTAGCTTGGAAACTAAGAAGGATAGAAAAGTGCAAAAACTTCTTTTCGGCAAGGAGATTATAAGGATCTAGGTCACAAACTTAAAAACTGTCCTAGGTTCTAGTCCCAGAGGTCTGGTTTAGGGATAATTTTTTCCATGATATTCAACGACAATCATCGAATGAACAGGTCTGTGATAATCTTTCGGAGAATAAAGACTGATGAGAAATGTAAGCACTTGTCGAAGTTTCCCTTATTAACACGGGTATTCTGATTGTATTTTATAAATCAATCCGAATGAACAAATGAGTAGTCAAAACGAAGTAAGTGCTTCCTCGAATATCAATATTCGAAGTGAAACACGACAGGGGTGATTCACTGTATTATGTAATCACCAATGAAAGGGTTTTTTACAGTTCAGTATATTCGACTCCTAATATTACGTTATGTTGGAAATTGCATCTTTCCACCTCGATCTGAATCGTCAGGGAAAATACCATATCCGTGACTTTCGTTGTGAATGTAGCAGAGGCGTCTGCCATCATCTGGTTGTTACAGAATTAATGACGTACAATTCGTATCATCTAGACTGATGAGCTAATTCGTATCATGTTCTTATATTTCCACTTATCAGTGAATATCCTTGAACTTTTAAGACTAGTTCACCCACCGAACTTTTAAATAGCAGAAGAAATAGTGCAACGTTTGATTTGGAGGAAGTGAACTGTAGTTTCTTTTACAAATAATACACTAACATTCTTGTTTTAGTGTAATATTATGAATCCATATTACATTAGGGCTTCGTGGAAGATGCAACAGCATTTGAAGACTTTTCAAACGAGAAACTATTCCACACAAACTTCAGAACCCAATGGTACATACGACGCTGTGATTATAGGCGGAGGTATGAATGTGCACATAAACAAGCGGCTAAAGATTTGATTTATGTATTAAGTGTCGTGTGTGGCCCAAATTACCCTAAATTTCTCGGTGTACAGTAGCGTAGTAGTGAAATGGTCGGTGTAACTTTACAAAGTCGAGTTCGCAGTCAACGTGTGACGCGGCGAAAATTCAACATAAATATCTAAATTAATAGATAAACTGTCCAGATAATGAAAGGACTGTTGCGTGCTGCCAGTAATATTTCAACAAACTGTCGAAAGATTGTTACAAATAAACGAATTGCTTGCCTATACAACGACAATAGCTAAGCCAACAACTATGCAACCAGTAACGTAACCACAGTTGGACTGGGAGTTCTCCCATCCAATGTTTTTATTGATGAGAAATATTTTGTTAGTTAAGAAAACGAAGGCATCTTTTAGATTAAGAGCACATCCAGAGATGACAAAACTTAGGAAACTCAACTACGAGTTTTAGAAACCAATGAACCACATACAGATTACGATAAATCGGGAAACAGAAAGTGTGGGGTTGCAATCAATTTACATAAAAGTGGAAACATTGAACAGAACATAAATACTAAAACTATTATTGTGACTGCCCCTTTGAGACCACGGAGACAGTCGATCTCTAAATGTTCTAAAGGTACCTTTAGACAGTGATAGCAATTTTCGTTCCGTACTACTTTACGATGGAGGTTTGACTGAGACACAGAATGGACCAAACATGCCGTACTTTTCACCAAAAGTGCAAAATGAAAAATAAATCAGAAAGTAACGCAGAACTTGTAAATAGCCCTATACTTGCTGTAATGATGTTCTGCTGTTTCTTGATAGGCCTATCAGCGGACGAAACAACGAATTTTTTTATCAATGGAAAAGTTTAGTACTGGCGTTATCAACTGTCGAAGAATATAAAATCATGGAAGACATCCCAGAATTTGATTCTTTAATGAGTGCTATGGATCGAGGTTTAACATTGATTGTTAAAATGCCTTTAGCAGCAGCATACTGTGCACTGGGGAGGGGGATTATAAAAAAAATAGTTACATGCAGACAGAAAGTGACAGTATTTTAATCTAAAATCCAGAGGCCTTTGGATCTCTCTAGGCCATTGGCATAACCAAGGAACAAAGAGGACTGTGTCGCAACACCAACGGAACATGGTCTGAGACCACTAACGTCAGAGTTAGACAAGAATATGGGACCTTAACTCCTACCCTGCAATTTATATTTACACAGTGTTGCCTGTCAACAGAAACAACAGTTGAATACTTTAAACAATATTAACATGAATAATTTTTGGGCCAACATTTTCATTTTATCTTTAATTGTTGCAGATGACTTGGTTATTATCTCAGTTAAAGTGTAGATCAAAGAGCATTATATGGCCTAAATACAGTAGAAAATAAATATAATTAACGCCCATACCCAATTTCACCATGACTTGCCCAGTCGTTCTCAAGTTGAATCATGTTTAACAATTCCTAAAATTATTATGTGGTACCATTAAGAAGAGAAGAAAATTGATTTTCCTCACTTGACTCTGAGCACGTGATGTCATGCAGGTCACAATGGATTGGTTGCAGCAGCTTATTTCCAGAAGTCAGGCTTTCGGACATGCGTCCTGGAGAAGAGACATGTGGTGGGAGGTGCAGCTGTTACCGAGGAGATAGTGCCAGGTTTTAAGTTTTCACGAGCTTCATATCTGCTCAGTCTCTTACGGCCACACATATATTCAGACCTGGAATTAAAGGTGTGCATGTACTACACTTTTATAGATCTTTATATCAAGGCTGTGTTACAATGATTCCACCCGTTCAGAATGAACACACTTTCTGCAAGTTTCAGTTCACCACTATTAAACTTTTATGCATAATTTAGACTTTGCCTCAGCAGAAAGATTTTAGTCACAGATATACAAAAAGTTTGTATTATAAAACCAAAAAAGCAGGCTGATTCAGTTTGTGAATTATACTCGAGAGTTATATCCAGCTTAAAATGCTGCTGTTATGCCAGTTAGCCTGACTGGAATATCTTGCTCCTTTCTTCTGAGTAAAATATTCCAGCAGATGACTGGCAGTCCTCTTCATATGGAAATTTCATGAATTACATATCTTTGTTTAAATGTAATCACTGCTCAGATGAAGCAATACTTTCTCCTCGAAACTCCAAGACTTCATGATCTAAGCCAACATGGGACCAGAGAGCAAATTAGTGGTTGATCTACTTAAGAGTCGCGATATCCAATTCTCTGCAACAAGACTTTATGTCTTTCATCACTCTGAAAGCCTGGTACAACTGTCATAAAGGAACATTTTAGCCAGTTTTGATAAAAAAATTCCCTTTGCCTGAATTCATAATTTAATCTGTTTTCTCTAGTAGTGAACACAATTTTCTTTCATTTCTCAGCTGCTTCACAGGGGAAAAATCACGACCCAGAAATAATTAATATGCGTCAAGTTTTCACAAAAAGACGAACATGTTGAAATTGTAAGAGTCCATCTGCAAAATAATTCAGGGATGAACCTGCCAGCATTCTTGTACTATATCTGTTACTCAAAACATCACTTACAATTCCAAAGAAACTCTTCTGCTTTTTTTATTTCTTAAAACTTTACTCATCTCTTCTGCTGATTTTTACTTCATGAAAGCTAAATATAACTCATAAGATTTAGCTGGCATACAGAAAAAGTTCATATATCCTCATGGCAATATGCATATAACCAAATGGATGAATGAATTTTTCACATTTGGCAGTGATAACCATATTGACCCAGTACTGGAAAAAGTAATTAGGTCATAATCCACTAAATGGTAGCATTAAGCCCTCTCTTCAAAATAGAAATTACTTAATAAATAGGATTTAAAATGTTAAAGCTGTGAAAAATTAACTGTTCCATTTTCAGAAGTATCTTTGGTCTCAAAATTCACTGGCACACATTCCAATGCACAGGAAATTCACTCAAGTGACTAAAAATTTACTTATAATTTTAAATAAGGGGCTCTAGTGAAAACTGAAACATGGATCTGAGAAGTTATTGACAAAGTTTCTTTGTTTCAGAAACATGGCTTAAAAACATACAAACGAAATCCTAGTTCATACACACCACTACAAGAGTCAGCATGGCAGCAAAATGGGCCAAGATCTCTTACTCTAGGATCAGATGAGCTCAGTAACAAGCGACAAATAGCCAAGTTTTCACAGAAAGATGCTCAGGTACTAAACATTCCTATAATCAATGCTTCCTACTATATATCATTTTCTTTAATTGACTAAACTCCAGAAGTAAGGCAGAATGTATCTCTGTAACAATTCCTCTGCTCACCCAGAACTTGTGAATTTAGATTAAATATACAGTGAACTTACGATTTAAGTTTATCTGCGAGACAATGAATTTAAATGTTAACTGACAGAGGAAATCAATCATTGTAATAGTCAGGTTGGTACCACAAAAATTGAATACTAAGGAGAAGCCCTTAAAGTGATAATGATGACATAGGGACTGTAGTATACTTTATAACAGACATCTACCTGAATTGATGGTCAGGAAAATATATTTCAAATTAATGTACACTTAATTCCTTCTGTGGTATAAAGTCCCCCCCCCAACAGACAGGTGCCAGCAATCACGATGTGGCAGACAAGGTGGAAGATAATACTTCTGAAGTCTTCACATCCATTAGGGCAATGGTCTACAATTGACACATACAAACTAAAAAAAATGTCTAGGTAAAGGTATTTCAATTGAAACTGTGAAGTACAAAATCCACTGTTAACATATAGAAAAATATGGTATTTTGAAGTATGGCATATATAATCCAGACCAATGGGATTTAAAATATTACAGGTCATATACAAAATCTTGAAGTCACTAGCTTTAGCTATGTAATTTTAAACATTACACATTGTTACATATTGAGCAAGAAGATTTACATAAGGAAAACAATGATAATTAATAAAACTGTGTCTGCAGGCTTACAGGCAGTATGAAGAGAAGCTTAAGAGAGTAGTGGCAGCTGTTGAACCACTGCTGGATTTATCTGCAGCTGATACAATGGCATTTCTTAGGGCAGAATCAGTTTGGAGCAAGGTATCTGCTCTATTGAACAGCCCACACCTGAGGAAAGCAGGTTGGAGAATTATAGCCTACACAATGAAATACTGTAAATGACATATGGACTATGAATGGTCATAAATAAGACAAGTGACTATTTATAAAGACATTAGGAAGTCAGTAACTACCAACATTTAATTGCATAATTCATTCACTTACAAGGAGAAACCTATCAGTTTTGGCTAACCAGACTGGAACAGGCATACTACAGATGGAATAATGATGATTATGATTAACTAACTAACTAACTAGATGGCTTACCGAACCCGAAGGTTCATCACCGAATTAACCAAAGCCCTCCACCGGACCCTGTCCTGGGCCAACAAAATCCAGTCTCCTTCGACTCCTATCTCCCATAGATCCTGCCTGAGATTATCCTCCCATTGATGATTATGATTAGAGTGGGGAAAAGTGAAGAACTCAGAGAAGAACCTGTTTCAGGGGCATTGTTTCCATCATGATTTTATCTTAATTTACATTTGTTAGATCATGGTTTTCTGGGTTGTGATTCATCTAGTCCATAACTTAATCCAAAATGTTGGTGACCGCCATCAAAACATCACAACATTGAAGACCACGATCCACATTTTCACTATCATTCAAATCTCATACTTGTATTTGACAGTTCACCATATTCTTTATAACAGTTGTTTTAACAATGTTCAATTGGCTATTTACAGTCATGTCTGTGATGTCACTTGGTGCTGATATACCAGCTCTCTATGAATTCCTAACAGCTCCAGCCAGCAGTATTCTGAATCACTGGTTTGAATCAGAGCCACTCAAGGGCACCTTGATGACAGATGCAGTGATAGGTACGATGACTGGACCAGACACACCAGGCAATGGGTAAGTAAACTCAGATATTTACTTCACAGCATACTCATTTAAGACTTTGATCTTTTCCTGGTTTCAGGCATTCACCAATGTTTTAATCTCTTGCCCATGAGATGTGATATGTCAAGAGGTTATGGTAAGTGTTTGGCATGTATTTAGTAACTATCTAACTCAGTGGTACAGGTTATTCTTCTAGTGATTGACAGGGTACTGAACTAGTCCAGAATAAATGCTTCTGATATCAATTATGACATTCATGGCCAAAACTATATCTTGTAATTAAATTTGGTCAGAAAAAACAAATTTTTTAAAACCTTGGGAGTAGGGTAAGGGACTTTGAAACTTGAACCTTTCAGAATACATGCCCGAAGTTCAAGACATAATGTTATCCTTTTCGTCTAGGTGTTCAGCTATGTACAACAAGATCTAAATTCATATATTGATGCGACATGAGATTTGAGGTTCTCATGGCAATGAAGATGTCAGTGTTGGTCTTCTGGATTGTAATGTTGTGGCAGTTCTGTTCCATTCTGTTGTTATGTCCCTCAAAAACATTGGTATCTACCTACAAGACACAGCATTTCACCCCAAAAGACTATCAAAATACTCCTGCCAGTTTGTATTTTATTTGTTTCACTTTATAAGAATTATGTCACTCTGGCATACAGTATCGCCACCTTTTGTAAACTCTAGTATAGTAAAATTAAAATTCTTAATTTCTCATCTAATTTAAAACGTTATAACTTGTCTGTATGGCAGGAAGTGATGAAATTTTTTTCGAAGAACATAACATAGCTAAACAAAACAATGGATACTGTAAAATGTACTAAATGTGATCTATATGTTGGCTTTCCCACCATGAGGCCGTGAAACCAGTAAGTTGATCTTAGATGAATGTGATAACCACCACAATATAAATATAGAAATAGAATTAAACCACTGTGGATATAATGCAAATGCTCCTTCAGGGGTTACATGAATGACAGGTCTTGTTCTGAAGGTCACTCCTGCTTTTAGGTATGTATTACTGCATCACATGATGGGAGAAAGTGGATGGGCATATCCTGAGGGGGGAATGGGTGCTGTCACTCAGGCAATGGCAGCAGCAGCAGCCTCCTATGGTGCACACATATTCACAAATGTGGTGAGATGAGCATTTTGTTAATAATGTATTAATGTAGCATACTTTATGCTTGTGTCATCATTAATACTATATACAAGCTGTGGCAAATTCATGGAACCACTGAATAATAGTGTTTAGAAAGGTAAAGACATTACATCATTGTTTTTCTCAACAAGAAAAATGTATAAAAGTGGGGCTCATTATTTACTTTTTTCAGATGTCTAACAATCTATGCACAGTACCATGTAACACCACTATAAAATATTTTACAACTTCTCCTTTACAAATATTTTTACATCACAAATAAGATTTATTTGAAAGTATCAACAAGTGTGGAGGACCATGATCCATTCAGGTCTCAGCATTAATCTGTTGTACATACCAATGTATTACTTTAAAGCTAATCAAAAGTAGAGACAGTAGAGTACAGAAGTCATAAATGGTTATTCACAAAGCTAATTACATTACATCAGATAAGTTTCTTGTAGTTTATTATTAACATTAAACATAGTAAAACACTTTAAAAAACAGGTTTGCAGCGGAAGCCCAGAGCTTTAGCTTTTATTTATGTGTATCACTTTCATTTCTGTCTTGTATGCTGCTTTCAGCTTCTTTTTCCTTCTGCTGAAATGCTACTGTAGCATCATTTAGATTTTCCCACTGATCATTTTGTAGTTCAGGTGCTGAACATACTGACATGTGTGCAAGTGTCACTTCACTGCTCTTTTCTTCTAAGACTGATGGATCTTGGACACTACTTGTTTGACCATCACTTTGCAATCCTGTAAAAGTCTTCTCTGTAATTACTCTACGGTGTTTCTGTTCTTTAAATCGTCCTGAACGTGATATTGACATTCTTCGCCTCCCAGTTTCAAATGAGTCACTGTAATTATCACTGATATTTGAAGCTTTAGTTTTATGGGAATTATCACTAAAAAGGCCAAAAAATCGTTTTGATGACATGTTTATAAACGTGTTAAGACTGCAGTTGTGACACTGTAAATAAAGTATCCTCCTAAAACATGATGCTAATCTACTCTTCTAATATATTATTTTATTAATCAGGGTAACAATTTTAAAAACGACTAACACTTTTGGCACTGCAGGTAAACATGCAGACTTATTCCATGATGTTAAAAATCCCTTTGTATCTGATGCACTACAAAACACAGATTTTCATCACAGCTACAATGATGCAGATAAGCAGACCATACTTCTATGTGACAGTATCAGTGAGACTGATCTGATAACAAAATTGTACTTCAATAAGTTTTGAAAGATAGCAACAGTTATCAGGCATTTGAAGACTAACCAGGTTTGTTCACACCTAAGATTAGATTTTTTCCTGCAGTGCAAACCATGTTTAATAAAGTATAGCATGAAATGAGTAATCCAGTTCCAATATACATCACTGCACTTGCCTCTATCTTTTTTATTTATTTAGTGTTCTGTCTGACGACAGGTCCATATGAACAGGATCCTTCCATCCTTTTCTCGGACTGGGACCTGTTCATATACGTTCTTGGCAGATGATCCAGAAGTGCTTTGCCATTGCCTTCTTCTGTGTGTAAATGGAGTAATTGTTGGGATGCCACGAAGAAACCGGGGAAGCCCCCGGAGGAAAACTCGGTGTTGCCTAGACCACGGCCTTGCCCAACACAAGTTATAAATTCGGGCACCACCGGGAATCGAACCCGAGACCCCAGGATTACAAGGCCAGCGTTCTAACCGCTAGACCACCGTGGCACTTGCCTCTATAAAAGAATAATATTTTATGTGCTTCATTACTGGCTGTAACTTAAAAGGTTCATGTCAGAAATGTTTTCCACAGAGACAACATTGACTGGGTCTCATTGTCTTTGTAACATTTAGGCACCTATCCTGAAGAGGCTTAATGAAAACATTTTCTTGTTTGTCAAAATGGCATAAATGATGCAAATGGTACTAGGTGATATATTTTATTGAATTTACCTTATGGTAAAAGGTATTCACATTTTTATTGTTTTTAAGTTATCTTAAATCAATGAAGCTATTGCCTGACTACCCTAATAGACCATTCTACAGAAGTATCTGACATATGATTTCATTCTTCGGTGATTACAGTGTTGTGATGGGTTTCATACTATTTCAGAGAACTTAGCAGTCTCCATCATCAAGGTGAAGTGACTGATCACCGGTATGGAGTTGGTATTTATAAATCTGGGCATGAAGGCAATAAATTATTCCATAACAGGCCACTGTTCAGAAATTAAACAGAAGATTATTGCCAAGTGCTGTGAAAGCCTGAAGACATCTGCATTTGAATAACATGGGCTTAATATTCTACAAAATGTTCTCTATTTTCAGAGTATTTGTTCCTATTTTCCATGTTTATTCAGTCCTGAGAATTCTTTGGGTGTACTTCATTTACATAGGACTTTTGTACATTACAGAAACCCCCAAACTGATGGCTTGTGGCTAAGAGTAGAATGACTAATGGAGATGAAAAATGCATATAAAAATCCATGCCACAGGCAGAATTAAAACCTGAAATCCCAACATTTGGTTGGTCAAAGACCTGGCATATCTACTACATGCCTTCACTAATGAAGGGTGCAATTTGAGCATAAATGGGGCTACTGCTTCATCTTCATTTCTTATTCCTGTTTATGGCTATTAGCTTTAAGAGTACCTCTTACACATTTTTGTAACCAAGCACATGAAAGCACAACATATTTCAGTAGTTCCATTTTCAGATTTTTAGTGTTGTGCTGTACTCACATACTCCACTAACTTGGAGCATAAATTCAGTTGCATTGTATCAAAACCTTGACATTCACAATGCTCATAATATAAAAAAAGCAACAAAGTACCTTTGGTCTGAAATTTCTAATATTTGATAATAACTGCAATTCAGGAAGTATCCAGCATTTGTCTAAATGGAGAGGGCCATGCAATTGGTGTAGTGACATCTGAAGGCCATGAAATCAAAGCTACTATAGTCCTGTCCAATGCTACACCATATGTAACATTCAACAAGTTGCTTCCTCAGACAGCTCTGCCAGAAAAGTACCAGGCTGCCATTAATAATATCAATTACACATCACCAGTAACAAAAATCAATGGTTAGTACAATTACTTTACTGGAAGAAATTGTGTAATTATAGGAGAATCAAAATTATGATATTCACCAATGTAAACAAAGATAATTAATTATATAAACAGATATGGTAGGAACCTATGTGTTGCTCCATTGTTGGAGCACCTAACAACTTGTTCCATAGGATACACACTGCAAGATGGCCAGTATCATGAGCTCTTTTCAAAAACACCAAGCCAACAGTCAAACTTTTCAATCCTAGATTATCTGTGTTCAGGGGTTAAAGCAGCGAAGGTGTGAAGATGACCACTCACCTTTACCTAGTGTTGAGAAACAACTGAGAACTGAGGAGTGACTAGATTTCACAATTTTCTTTCACACTTTTTCCTCAGAGCTCATGTGTGGAAGTTTAAGAATAAATATATCAACTTCATTGTCATTATTAATCAATTCAAATACAAAGATGTGAATAAATCATTAATCTTATGTTATACATGCATATGTGATGTTATAATTACATTTCATAATTATCATTGTCCTTTGTCTAAATGAAACAGAATCATTATACTACAATGAATAGAGGAAGTCATATCATATCAAGCATCTGGTAAGTCATATCTCTGATGTGAATGCAACATTGTCATGTCCCTTACAGTCATTTATGGAGTTGGATGGGTTGCACCCAAGATTACATTTAGCTTATTCTGTAGATAATTCTTGTAAGGTGGGAGAAGATATGGATATGTACTGCAATACAGCCATGCTTTATGTGCATGAAAGTTATGGTGAGCTGCAGAACCAAAGTTGATATCATACTGATTAGGAAACCACCCAAAGACAATAGAGATTTTTTGAAGTAAGGACATTCTACATCCAAAGCAGAACTGAAACAAGTTATTTGTTTCAGTTGTTTCATCAGTTCTGGCACTGAAAGTTAATGCTGAAAATTTACAACATAACATTAACAAAGTGAATGTTCTTGTTAAGAAGCTAACAGTTTCTCAGCTAGTCAACAAATTCCCTGTCTTTTATGGAAGCCAAAGGTTCATTACAGCATTTGCAAGAGGCTGCCACCAGTCCAAATCCTGAGCCATAGAAGTCCAAACCACACCTTATTTATTTAAGAATGATTATATATTATCATCTTCCCATCTGTATCTAGATCTTCCAAGTGGGCGCTTCCCTTCAGGTTTTCCAAGTAAATATTTTCATGCACATCTCTCACATCTGTGCTACATGCCGTGCCCATAACATCGTCTTCGAGTACAAATTATAAAGCTCCTCACTATTAAATTTCTTCAGCTTCCTGTTACTGTGTCCCCTATAGATCCAAATACTATCCTTACCATCCTGTTGCCCATCCTTTCCCACAACTTGTGTACTCACCATAATCTGAGCAATCAAGCTCTACGCTAATTGATACAGGTAGAATTACAAACACACACAACATATTTAGAAAACAGGAAGACATAAAACTCTGAACTGAATCGCAGCAAGTACTCCCTGATTTTCAATCTTCTCTAAATTTTTTCATGAATGCAATTTTTACTTGTTCCCAGATAACTGAACTTCACCACATTTTTAAAGAATTTATCAATTATTACGATTTTGTCTTGCATCCTGGTGACAAGACATGAACACATATTTATGCTACTCTGAGTTTACTTATAGACAATGAATCTAACATAAAGCACAATCAAATGTAGTAAAATTATATGTTCACTGCAATGATGAAGGAGGCAGCAAGGACCTCTGAAATGTCGGTAAACATCTACGAGACTACACAGCACAACAACCCAGAAGACAGCCACCTTCACCTAGTGATTTCCTCATGGACAATTTATTTTAACATGCAATACCCCAACCTCAGATTTAACCAATAACCTAAGTTAGAACAGACCAACTCTCAAAACATCATGAACATAAGTCAAAAAACACTGTTCAACATAACTGTCATATGCCAATGAATCATGCATTCAGAGAACCATTAATTATTCTGTATTACTGCCTGGTTTATCTTGTACCTAGTATGTTTTTTTAATAACAATTCCATTTCACAGTTGCAGTGAATAAACTGCCCAACTTTCTGGCTGATCCATGTGAGAAAGCAAATCAGCCAATGCCACTGCACCAATGCACAATACATATAAATTGTGAAAATACAGAACTTATCACACAAGCATATAACTGTGCTCTGAATGGGAAAATCTCAGACAGGTAAGGAAGACAGATCTTAGTGTTGCTGTTATTATTTGCTAAACATATCTTATTTAAATATGACATCTTATTTTAGGACTTGAACTGTATAAAGTTTAGTAGTAGGCTGGTTGGGTCCAATAATTCTGTATATGGTGAATACAAACATTTGACAGTTGCTGTTGGAACAAACCCATAATACATCTTATCTTCCTAGTCATCCTGAGAAAAAATAATCTGATCTACATATGGGTCCACATCTGAAAATGATTATACACTTGCCTAGATTTGGCAGAGGCTAGAAAAGGCCAACACAGACCACATATGGGAACGTTAGATACCTACCAACCAACATTTTCTAAAGTAACGATTTTACAGACCAATGATTGAAATGGTAATTCCCTCAAGTGTGGACCTTACATTGGCACCTCCTGGCTGCCATGTCTGTCTCCTGTTCACTCAGTACACACCATACCACTTGAAGAACGGTGCCACTTGGGACAAAAAAACAAAGGAGCAGTATGCTAAGCAGGTAACTCATGAGATCATCCATTAAAGTAATAAATGTGATTACCATGGCTGCAGAAGTGGATAAATTTGTAATGCCTAATGATGCATAATATAATAAAATTAATACCCTCTGCCATAATTAATGTACTGAAATGTAGTGTATAACACCATGAACAAACTCAGTACATACTCTTTTACACAATCAAATAACTGAACTTCTTTGCATATCTTGGAACATCCACATCAATTTATCATTCAAAACTGAACTTAGTCACAAATAGAATTTCTTGAAGACAGGGAAATTTTGTGACGGTGGTGCTGCACCTCATGTTTATTAATTTTTTGTGAAGTCCTTTGTCATTAAAACAGAACATATGTAAATGTTTGAGTATTGAAATATTTATCACATTCTAAGTGATTACTGGAGGAAATCTAAAGCAATGCAAAAATCATAAAAATAAAGCATGAGAAAGTTCCTCTACAGCATGAGTTAGATATTAGTACCTAAATTTGTCAGTCTGGCCATGCTACAGAAAGTAATTTCAAAATACAAACCAAAGGTCTGTAGCCATACAATATATATGGAATGTAAGAATTATTTGGCTCCATGATAATAAAGTTTTGGTCACAACAGCATGGCATGTCCTCAGGAGCTGGTCTCCAGATATGGAGGATGGCTACAAGCAGTCATCAGTCATATGCCTGTGAGAGCTCACATGTTATGGTTCATTTTACAGGAACTGAAACTTAATTTAAATTACTGCCTTAGACTTGACTCACCCATCACCTGATATTTTTACAACCTGCTGCTGTTGTCCTCAACACTTAACTGAACTTTACTATCTCCACTGCAGGTTTTTGCCAATATCGAGGAATACACACCTGGATTTACTGACAGTATTGTTGGAATGGAAGTACTTACTCCACCAGACCTTGAAAACATTTTTGGCCTTACTGGAGGTGTAAGTTTACCTGTTGGCTTCAAATTACATTCATATAATTAGATGGTGCTACACTTCAACTAGAAACCAAATACGCAACATGACAATATGACTCAGTAGGAACTCAAATCTATATTCACCGATTCCTGTGTTACCAATAATTCAAAGTGGAAGTACTTTAATTTTGTAACATTTTTAGCCCACTTTCTTTATTTCATAAGCTTTTATTATTTCTTCATACGACTAACAGTATGTCTTTATATAATAGTCTGAAGATCAAATCAAAGTTTGGTCATCCTTTGCAATTCCTTTTCATAATCTTATTTTCAGAAGAGGTTAAAATGTAATGAGGACTTACAGTGACTGAGAAGGTTGATGTCATTTGAGTGACCTAGACTTGTAATGACAAAGTACTTGGTTTGAATCTTGGGTAGATTACTGACTTCCCGTCTCCTGAAATGAATGCCCAGACAAAGAGGCCATGACTGTTTCTCTTCTACACTCCATTCATGATCATCTTCCCTTCTTGGCTTCTACAATTAAGACACTCTAACTTATTAATCAAAGAATTAATAAAGCAATGAGATTGGGCTTCATTAGCAGCCAAAATGTGTTTGAAATTAGAAAAATGTTCATGCTCAGTTACTACTTCCATCATTCCTTTGAACTCTGTAAGTCTGACTCACAAAACTGTTTCTAGAGTGTAAGATATTTTGACAAACAGCAGAGTATTCCTCTTATGCATTGACAAGATTTAAGAGGCAGCAGTACTGGCCAGAATTTCCCTTGGGCTACTTGAAGCATTACACCACATTTGATAAAAATTATGAAAGACAGTGGTGTATTTTAATGCATCCCATCAATTGCACAGATAAACTTGGGAAAACCAAATAAAAATTCAGTCAAGATAGAACAGCTGGTCTTTAGATTGAGGTTCAAACCCAATACTTACAGAATATGAAGCAGGATTGTTAACTTCTATGCCACTATGTGTGGTCCTTCAGAGGTAGTATATTTGGAAAAAAAGTTGCTCTCTGTTTTACAGTGTTATATGTTTCAAACAGCATCCTGTAAACTTACCAATAATTAAAGTCATACGTGGAACCTATTTCATTTTATGTCAGTTAATACGGGAATTTTTTTTAACAGAACATCTTTCATGGAGCTTTAACAATGGACCAATTATTTCTGAGTCGCCCAATTGCAGGGGATATTGGGCCACCATCCCCATTCACACCTATAAATAAACTTCTGTTGTGTGGCAGTGGAATCCATCCTGGTGGTGGGGTAATGGGTGCCCCAGGATGCATTGCAGCACAGGCTGGCATTACACTTCTGCAGAGTATGGGAAGGAAGAATGGACATTGAAAAGGCACAAACTCCTGAATAGAGAGTAATTCAGTCCCGTTACACTGGCTTATTATAAAACCAAATGCACCAATATTTTGCACACACACAAACCTGACAGTCTGTTGTTTAGTTGTCACACACAGTACCTCAGGATGTTCAGAATATTGACAAATACTGTAACAATGACATCAATGTGAAACAACTGTAAAACATCCTGCATCCTACACTTTTACCTGAGAATTCTTATAAAATGTATTATACACACAGAAATATGTGTGGTGCACAAAATGGTGATTATGTTAAGCATTAAAATTACTTCCAGTCATTGAGGACAAATCAGAGAGATTGTTCACAATCTTATAAAGGCCATTCAAGTAAATCAAACTGAATCATTCCAAATACATACAATGATTTTCTAAATTAATTACTTACAATGTTACATAAAGGAAATCAACTAAGGATACAGGTTTTCTGTTGTGTGAAGAAAATGGAGGAATGAACAAAGGTATTTACAAACAGCCCTGTGCAAGACAGATGTAGAAAAATTTACTGACAATTAATATTACAAGGCTGATAACACAATGCACTGTAGAAAATGATTATAAACATTGTAAGATAAACACTGCTTACAATACAAAGTTTATTTTTCCTCCCTGACTGACAAACAATATTTCATACCTTACCAATGATCCACCAACAGTAACAGTCCTTTAAATGTTTGTTATGATGACACATGATGACCCCAAGGATCACGTTTCTGGTCTAGGAGAGCTAGTGATGACTCCGCAATTCTACCCAGTAATTCACCCAGTTTACTTTTTGTAAACACCTGCACAAATCAGTAATCTAACAAATACCTGACAGTCACAGGGAAAAGATTTGATAATACATCTATAGTGAAAAAGAAATTTAAGTATTTGTAATAAAAACTAAATTTCTTCCAATTTTAGAACCAGTCTTTAGTGCCAAGTCCAGTAAAACATTGAAATCTCTAGTATTAACTCCTATACTCACCATGAAAGCTCACAGTGATAGTGAATAATTCAAATACATTTAACTTAAATTCTACACTTTTCAAATTAATGAGGTTTACTCTGAACATACAACATACCTTGAAGAGTTTGTGTTGCTCAGAGACAATGAGGTCAGCTAGTTGGATGCATTCTGTGTACTCTCCCATCTGGTGCATTACAGTATGAAGAAGCAGAGCCACCTGTCAGAGAAACATTTACCATCAGATAATATCTGACCCTCCATGAACAAGCGAAGGTACAGTGAAACCTCGATGCATCGTTTTTGGCTGGGGTGGGAAATAAAAACGGTGAATACGGGAAAACGATAGTTGCGGGAAAGCATTAAAAATTTTAAAAAACTGAATGTTTCTCTTTCAAAGTTACTTCATTTTACCAAAAAAGTCTTTAATGGACAACTGGTTTGTCGAAAGTTTACGTTTTAGGCCAAGCAGAGTCCTTTCCACGTTCACTAATGTTACGCGCATAAAAGAACGACTTCACTTTCGCCAATGCAGCATGTGCTTCGGCAAAACTTGACACAGCTTCAGGCTCGCATTCGTCGTCTTCATCTTCCTCACCACTCCCACCCCCTTCGCGAACAATAACAGAAAGAATGGAAATACTATTATTGCCGAACTCAACGAAACGTAGCTGTAGAAGACACTGAACCACTGGAAACGAGTTGAACCAGAAGAATGAAAAGTGTCGCCCGCCTTTCCTTTGTACTTATAATACGTAAAAGCATTTGTGAAGAAATTCACACTGCACATGCCATCTGACATCGCTGGAACGAAATATGGTGCACCCTAATTAAACTCATAAAATTTCTGACAATGGGCACCGCCATTTACTCCAACTATCACCCCTGCACCGCTGCCCCTCATTCCAAAAGAATCTGTGCTGGTTGGGCGATATAACAGGTTACCGCTACTGCGTATTCCAAAAACATTGTGCGTCTTTCGGTATTAATTTATCTCAAAACCCAGCATTTTAATTTCTCAGAAACGATCATTGCGGGAAAATTGTGGGCCGGGACTAAGATTTTTGAACGATCGATGCGATAAAACGATAGTTCGAGGAACGATAGAAGCGGGAAAATGTAACATTATTTTATATGGGATGTATCCGGGACCGAACAAAACGGACGATGCATCCGGGAAAACGATAGTTCCGGGAACGATGGATAGAGGTTTCACTGTATATGAAAGAGAATGAACAATGATACAAGAGAACTACTTTTGGAATGGAAGGTGGAAGATGATGAAAAAGGTCAATCACAGGGTGACCCACATATTCAGAAAGTTGACAGATCACGGGGGCTTGAAAGAATGGATTACCCTCACTGACTTATCACCAACCTTAGGAATGCATAATTGGCGCAAGTCATCCATTTGCTTCTGGCGCCGACTCATTTCACCATCAGTATCAACATCTTCATCTTCTGCCTCTGAACTTACAGAGTCTACAAGCCAACCACCTTCAGGAAAAGTCAGAACATTGTAGAGTTGAGATTTTACTGTCTGGAAAATAAAGCAAGTTTCATTGCTTTGGATTAAAAGTGCTCTCACATACACAAGCACAAACCAACCTGAACCCACCACAAGCAGCCCAGGTTGGACTTGTCCTTATACACCATGTCTTCTGATGTGTAGTTTATTTCTGTGGGGTAAACTACATAACTTTTGTATAATTCTATTGTTGCCAAATTAGGTGCATTCATTTCTCTCAACATACCGAACTTCACATGCCAATCTAACAGTGCGTGAGAATTTAAAAAGACTTACACGTCTCTACCGTCATTCAAAAATGTAAAAATCTTGTGTTGAATGGTGTTAGATCCAAGTCTTCAAGGGATTTAAATAGCATTAAATAGAATAAATTATAAATAGGAAAGTGTGATCACAAGCCTTTTCCTCTTTCAGGACTTGCAATAAAAAATAATTGAAGTAAAAGACCCAAACAAGAGAAAAGAATTAATTCCTTTGTTAGGGCACATTTATTGCTTTCATGTTGCCTCTGTGGCTCAGTTAAAATTTTAAAATAGACACTTCTGACAGAATGTTACTCAACAAATTCACTTTTACACCAAGAAGCAATGGTACCAGCAAACTTTAATACATACCACATACAGATTTAGGTGTCTGGGAAAAGACTTGAACTGGGCCCTCACAAAAATAAGGCAGAATAGCTAACCATAATACTTGGTATTTTTTCAATTAATGCTTCATTACTGTGGTCTGTTAATTCAAAAGCAGTGGCTATTCATGACAATCAATATACTAAACAAATTAAATCAAACTTAAAGTAGCTTAACCTATATCTTAGAAGTGGTATTAGTTAAAATCAAATGTTATTCTTATAATACAATTATGGTTCCTCTTGGACTGTGTAGTGGTATTTCATTCACTGCAAATGTAATGGTTTTACCATCATGACTTGGTCCCTAAACTCTCATTCGGGTGAATAAAGATGGATGGTATACCACAAATTACATGGGAATTTCAGGACATAAAATGAAGCACGAAAATAAGTGAAAATGTCAAGAAATTCTTCTGTAGAAGTTGCATAGGGCAATACAAATACCATTCTATTTGTCTTAGAATCAGGAAAATACAGTAACCATAGTTATTACTTATTTAAGAAGAAAATGATTTGAATGGCAAAGCTCATTATTAAAAATGTTTAAACTGGAACATACAGAATGACCACATAAGCAAGAACTGCCTAAACTGAAGTTGCACTACTCTTTTGTATTAATATTATGTATGTTAATATATGTACCCAAATATAATAAAAAGGATTTACAGCAAAAGCAACTGCTAGATGCAGTTTACTTCAACCGCAGACATGCCATCCCACCTTGGTCTGCTGTTGCATGGCCATCTTCCAGCGTTCAAGCTCTGATTTGTACTGATTATGACGATGATCGTAAGCAACTCTTTCAGTGAAAGGTACTTCTCCAGGAGGCAGTTTAGGTGCAATTGGTTTGGCATTGTGATAATGTTCAAACCAATCTGAGAAACCTTCTTGGGCATCCTATAAGACAGGATTTTACAAAATAACAATTATTATTAAATCCTCATTTACCATTAATCTGTGGAACAATGCATTTTAACACTGAGGAAAAACTTAAATGGATGAAAGATAATGACCACAGAAACTGATAACTATAACTATAAACCAAGAAACTTTAAATGGTGATTCCACTGTTAATATGAAAACAGTCTCATGCAAATGCAGCAGATATTGCCAATATAAGGACTTTCTGTTTGTGGGCTGGCTGAAATTATGCAATACACTGATTTTGATTAGAAATCAAAGGCCTCAAAGCCAGTCACTCTTACTGCATATTGTATATGGTTTTATACAACAAACTTTAATGGTGATAACAGAACAGAAAAGTATACAAAACTGTGGCAAAAACTTGATTTTGGAAAGAAAACAACAAGCATAACTTATCATTCAAACTGTTTCAAAAGTTCAAAACTGGAGTGACTTCTGTTTAAGATGATAAATGTTTAGAATGTCCACACATAAGCAAATGTGGTATAAATTAGGGAACATGTTCATGATAAAAATATCTCAACATCTGAAAACTGCCTGAGGAGGTAGGACTTAGTTGGATAATGCTAAAGTAATTTGATGCAAAACCTGAACATGCAATGGACTACTCCAAAAGTAATCCACGAGCTGAAACAAAATTAGGTCATGTGTATTAGGACACTCTTTAGAGAAACCAACTATATTCCTTTCTAGGCTAATTACAGGTGATGAAACATGGATTTATGAGTTCACAGCTGATTTCAGACATCCAGTAAACCCTATTAGCCTCTGAGTGTTTAACCTTAATCATATAGGTACAGAAGATTCAAACTCCATATTACATGGCTGCTGACCATACTTTAGATCCAGGGTTAATGGTTTAGCACTATACTAGTGCAATGCTTGACCAGCTGGATCATATATAAGCTACACCACATGAAAAATAAAAGTTAATGGGTTCCACCAAAGTAGTCACTGAAATCAAATATTTAGAAGCATCACAGGAGAAAAAAAAAATTGCACAAATTAGGAATGAGAGATATCTGACACTGATTTTGTACCTGAATCAAGGGAATCCACAGGGCAGGAACATCAAAGGTGACGTAAATGTGTATCACTGATTGATAGGATTGATGGACTGGATACATGTGACAGAAATATCAATCAATGGTGGATTCTTGTGAACATAATAATGAACGTTTGTTCCATAAAACATGGGAAATTTCTTGACTTGTTGACAGACTATTAGATTCTCTGTAGGATTTGAGGTCTGAAGATTTCTGCTTTCTGGGTTATTGCGCCGTGTAGTCTGGTAGATTTCCACCAACGTTTCAGAGGTCATACTCCCTCCGTCATCAGGGCGATAAATGTGCCAATCGAGCGGAAAGGGTCAGGTTTATAGTGAGTGGACGGTAACCAGAGAAGCCTGATCCTAGTCAATGAGCCAGTGATTTGCTACAAGAATTTTAGACATAACTTCTTGTCCATGTGATTATACTAGGTGAACTCAAAATAATGATTTGTTTTAATATCTTGTCCTGTGAAAAACTGGATTCTTATTAAATACTAATTTTATAACACATCCCCATGTATAAACACATAACTTAAATAAAGTACAACACATTCTTGTGAACAATACATTACCAAGTAAACTTTGTAGCAAAGATACTCTCTAATTGAGGAGGAAACTCGAGTGGGTAGATTATGAACCACAGACAAGCCCTCAGCATTTAGACTGTCATCAGTCATAGCCTGGTACTGTTTCATTATCAGATCAACAGAATCCACGGGTATCTAAAAAATAAGACATGAAGTTAGAGTTGAAATTACTCAGATTCTGTGGAATCTCAGGGTTTCATGCAATACAGTTTAGAAATCACTACTACTTTCTAACACTCCAAGAGGAAGAAAGGTGATTTCTGTAAGTTCTAAGATTCTGAAACTTGTCAAACTGCCCACATGAAAGATACAAAACATCTGAAACTGAAATGTTTGAAATGTTCATTTCTCTTCTTCATTCTTCTTTACTATGTAAGGACTCATCCCACTGACAAATGGCAAGATAAAGATTTCACTTTCTCTTTCTCTATTATGCACACTCAGATATAAATAAATAAGAGAACAACCAATCCATTGTGATGAAGCCAATGTCCGAGCTGAGAAAAATGTTACATTATTTTAGCCAAGTTACAGATTCTTACCTTATTAAATGCTTTGCGAGCAGCCTCTAGTTTGCCAACGGCCAGAAAGTGGCATACAAGTGCATTTGCTTGCCACAATGCCTCAGCACGTTGAGAGGGATAGTAAACAACCCAATCCAATGCCAACACTTTCACCATGTCTTCAGCTGTTAATTCTGCTTTCAGGTCTGGTAACTCTGTACTGGTTTCTCGGTTTCTAAGTATAAATTACAGCAGGTTTCAGTCGCACAAACTAACTAAAAGTATGCAAATTGCTTAGATTATAAAAAAATACATTATTTTATTATCCTAAACTTCTCAATGATTTCATGTAATATGCTAAAGGAAAAACATGCTACTTAGTAGTACCATATTGAAAACCTTCGCACCTTACATACAATTTCAAATATTGCATTATCAAGCAACTACTCTTATTTCTAGGTGTTTATTACAATCTGTCAATAACAATGCAACACTTTCAAGCTACATTACTAAATTTAATATGTACACAACACAATATTAAAACATTAAACAAATTAAAATTGCATAATCATCTAGGAGTTAAAATATCTAAATATTTACACATTTACAAAGCATTATAATTCATACAAAATCAAACAATTTAATTCTGCAAAAGTTGTCTAAAATGTTAAAACATGTATATTACCACAGATGGAATAATTACTAATTTATAATTAATGTTTTGTTTTCTTTTAGTAATTACGTTCTTTTGTTGAACACTGTTAAATATTACTAATGTTAATACTGGCAATGATGAATACTTATTACAAATACTTTCCATTCCATTATATGCAGATTTCACCTAATCTGTGGACAAGATTAATGTGGCTCAGAACATGACATGGGCAAATGGCAAGCTCTGGTAAATGTCTGAGACTTACTTAATTAATTACCTGATATTTTCAACCACTGTCTTGGTAATAGTTTCAATGTCAAGATCTGCATCTTCTGCTGCTGCAAGAGCGAGCTCCCGCTCACCAGAATCTGTGATATCAGCTAAAAATTCTGCATATAATGCCACCTGATCTTCTTGAGGAAGAGTTGCTGAATAGTGTGCCACTAGATGAGGATCATGCATCTGCATCAACTCCTGTCAATATCACAAGGAAGGAAGTTCAAAGGCTGAAATGACTGCAAGATCTGTATGAAGAACATATACTGAAAACAATATACAAGTGGCTCTTGTTATACATGCATTTGAAAATTTGCAGTTTTATTTCATTACGATGAAGAGCATCAATACACTGTCTGTAGCCAAATTTTAAAGCCTATATTACCTGTGTTGAACCTTCTCTGGGGTTATCGGGGAATATAATGCAGATGATGAGCTTAGCATCAAAGAATTCTGGTGCCAGTTTAACTTAAAAATGGTGACTGTTATAGCTCTCATTGTACAAATTGTCAATATATGTGGAGACACACAGAAATGCAAGTCCCATGATCAAGAGTTACCAGTAACATTTCATATAGATCTGTTAATAACTCAACAGTGGAAAGGTATCAAATTCCTTGGTGGGGTATAAATACAATTAATTCAACTTCCAAAACTGTAATAACACTTGCTAAATAAAAGATATTCCAAGCAATAACCAATTGTTTTTCAACATAAAGCAGCATGACTATAATCCTTCCAATGATACCTCCTAATTCTGATGGACAACCATAATAAACAAAAGATTAGGTGGGTGTATTAATTTATTCTGTAATATAAAGGCATTGTGTTATAAAGTCAGACAATTTCCCTGGATTACAGCCTCTGACAATTACTAGATTTTATCAAATTTGTCACAACTACACAGTGAGAACAGATGATCAAAGGAGAACAATATTTTTAAGTGTAAAATTTTCCTGTGACTATGTTTCTGTAAAGAGTTTTGTAGTTAATTTATTTCAGTTACACATCTATTCTTGACAAAATTAATCAAAGAAACAGAGTCCAGAATACCTTCTTCAGCTTCTTCTTGCTTTGTTTGTTTTATATGGAATCATGATCCTTCAATATATATTTTGTTAAATATGTACTATACTAAAACATTTCAAGTACTGCAAATGTTTTATATATTTCAGTAACATACATATATTGTTCTGTCACTCTTAGTTTTTTATGGGTAATTTTTTTAAAGAAATTTTCCAAAGTTCAGTTAGATCTTAATGGATAGACCTCCCATACGAAACTACATCAAATTCACTTATGAGGGTTTTGAGTAATGAAACTAGCAAAATTCAAGAAACCAAGGCATAGTGGAATAACAATTACAAGTAGTGTGGAGAAAATCCACCATCTAATTCAAGAAATTAAGTCATGGTAGTCTATTACCTTGACATATGCCCGTAACACTGCATCACCAATATGATCTTTTTCTGCTCTTCCAATGAGGCGAAGGAAGAGAACAAGATGTGACAGGAAACGAAGTGACTGCATTTTCTGTTCTGTGTGAAGTTTAATCCACTGTTCCATTTCATCCATTAGTGTACCTATTTGATCCAAAATAAGGTACTGTTGAACCTTATGTGCCATTTGTAGAGCCTCATTGCGGATACGGGTGTCTTTACTTGCTGCCAACTCAGAAAACACTTCTTCTATGTCCATTCTGCAAAACAAATTTACAAATTCCTTATTCAATACAGAATGTGTCATGCCTTTCAGAAGAAACTTGCCACACTCTATATGAATGTTCCAGCAAAAGAGCAGAGAAACTGAAAGGAGTGAAGTGCCTCACAGTCATGTTCACACACTTGGACAATATGCAGAAAGTGAAATATATTGTGTAATAAATTTGTATATTCTACTCACAGTATTTGTACAGCCACCTTCATATTTGCTGCTGATAACTTCAAATCCTAAATCCTACTAAATTTGGTCTGACCCTAATTATCTAAGGAAGAGCACAAAAACACCTCTAAAACAAGAAAATATTTCATTTTGTAATACTAGTAACATGACTACTGGACCTGATATCAGATGCAGGATGCATTATCCAGTTATAATACAGTAATACATAAATTATTTCTTACTCATTCTGCCAGTAAACAGCTGGTAGCTCAACATAATGGCGAACAGATGACTCTCGGATCTCTTTTTCAACTCTGATGTCAACTAAAACACGAAAGTGTGCCCACAGAAGATCTTCCCAGGACTGACAAACTTCAACCAAGGTAGAGAGATGGCCACATAATGCAGCAAATGTTGCCCGTGCAAAAACTGGCATACGTTTATCCTCTGCCATTTTCCAGGCCATCAGTTTCCATATGTCTCTGAAAATACCAACATTATTCACATTATTTTGGGGAAGTAACATTTTCTTTAGTGTGCTATTTAAAGGGCATTCACTCTTATATCACTGAGAATTAGTCTGGACTTTAAAGGTCAATGAACTCTTTATAATTATGAATAGCTAAACATTTCCTAAAATTAAACTGGACAAAGGTAAAAATGGCTACAGCTGACAATGTTTATAACCTACAAATAAAGTTACACTACCTTCAAAAGCAAGAGATGAAGAAGAATAAGTTAGATTGTTATGAAATTTTAATAAATAAATAAAACAGCTGTAATAAGGACGATGGTACGAAATTCAGTCTCAATAGAGAGTAATGAGTCATGTATACATGGCAATGATAGGAAAAACAATAATTTCATACACAAAAATGCTTCTTGACACATTTTATACACATCATTGTGTCAGAATACTAAAGCAAAGTACTTACATACCTCAGGGTCCACTAAAACATATGAAAAGATGCAACTAAGCAATATTCAACACAGATGATACTTATGAATCAACAAACCATCTGCCAGATCATACTTTATTTGGATATATAATTACCTGTTGGGATTTCCTTCTACTGGCAATTTATCAACTTCATCAATTCCACTGGCTGTCTCATAATTGGGGTCATGATGCAAGCGCCAACCTTCAAGAGCTGCTGCCCGCCACTCTTGCCCAGTATGCATACACAACAGCTGAGCTTGCTGTAAATGTCCACAACGAATCTGCACAAATACTTCTTTTACTAGACGAGCCTCATCTTCCTGCAGAAAAACAGATATATACATATATAGTTAGCATCAGTACAAAATGGTAAAATCCTAGCAACTGTAATACAACACAAAAATTAATACTAACCATTCTACGAAAACACAACAAATGAGCTCTCACTGTAGCCTAGCATGCATCCAATATGTAACTAAACTGCAGCAATATGAATATTCAGTAACTACCTGCAGTTTCTGGCAATTTCCCTTATAACCATCATAGTGACCTTATATTTGAGGAGTACCATCTTTTACACCCCCCCCCCAAAAAAAATAATAATGGACTGACATCAGGTGAATGGAGAAGCCATGAAATCAAATCTCATCTAATCATCCACAAATCTAGAAACCAGGCATTCAATGAGTGCCACAGAGTATTAAAAAAATGTATGGGTGAGCCATCTTTCTGGAAGATGATAATAGGAAATAAAACCAAAGAGCAGAAAAGCATAATTTTCTAGCATGCCCAAATACATACAACTGTTTTCCTTTTCTGTGATAAGAACTAGACCCATTACTTCTGTGCTTAGCAGACAACACACATTCAGCTTAGCGGTACATCTCTAATGTTCTAGGTATTTGGTGTTGTCTTCATATCTGAAGTTGCATTTTAGTTGGATGAAGGTTTATTTTAATGATACTTCACTGCATTCACATTATGGGATGGGATTAACAATTAAGACAAACCACATCAATGTCATGAAGGGGCTTTCCTTCCCTAAGGGGTGCATCTGGGTCCAGCTTGGGTACTATGGGTCGGCTACTCCCATAAGGTATATTACTCGACTTGTTCTGAAAGAAAACAACAGTGCATTCATGAATGCTGTAAGGTTGACACAACCTGCAAAACAGACTCAAAACTCCGAGGTTTAACAAACAACTGCAGAATTCTCACACATAGTTTTTGATTGTGTCATGCCTTAAGCCATAAAAACAGATGTCAGTATGAGAAAATGGTTACACCATTATACTAACAAACCTCACATCTTGTGTTGAATTTTCTGCAACAGTGCATTTTATTATGCATAATATTTGCACTGATACAAAAATGTATCAAAACCAAAAACTATCCTGAATGAATGTACCAGCATTATGAAACCATGACACGAAATTAAATAATCCTGATGTTGTCACCTACAGTTAACCCCCAGGAACTACTGCATTCACTGCTAAGATAAAATAGATACATAACTCTGTAAGCAAACTTCATCTGTTGGCCTGCGATAACATTTCACAGCCAACAAAGTAGCCAAAGTTACCTGCAAGCATTTGAAGTTATCAAAGAATGCCTATGTATTGACAATTTTTTGAAAACAGTAATTTGTTGTACAGGGAACAAATCCCCACCTATACACCATTATCAACAGTTTAGTGTGGTAAATGCTATCATCAAACATTGAAACTATGGTATTATTCTGTCTTAAAATACAAGTACAGCACAAATATGTGGAGGTCAGCGTTCTGCTGAAACTACAATGCTTGAAAAACACACAATTTTAAGTGAAATGACAATTCATAAACTGAAGAAAATGAAATGGAAATTTTTGTCACTTTGAAAATAAATAATATACACACATTCAGTACCCTACTTCAAAGAAAACACAACCTGCATCTATTACAAACATCAACTGGTTAATGCTGTTCAGGAAATAATCTGCGTACTCTGAGAATTATATAAAACCACAAACACAATGTTGGCAAAATTCAGAGTTACTGAATGTGTAAACAGATGGTACATATAGTTACCACTTTAGTGTAAGGGGATATGATTATCCATACAGTTAAGTTGCGTAATGTTTTTTTCCCAATAATACCTGCAACTGATGAAGTGTATTTTCCCAAGCAACAGTTTTGTCTGTGAAATGTTGAAGGCACGCTTCTTCTCGAGACTGGTCAGATGCATTCTGCTCCAACCAATCAATTACCAGCTGACACTGCAACAAATAATCTTATTACAAATCAGTTTAATAGGGTACAAAAGCAACTACATCTCTTGGCTACAACCTTATAAACAGAAGAAGATAAACTGCAAGACATACAAGAACCATATTTATTTAAGTGGAGCAGTAATATCACATCAAAAGTGGACAAACACGAGCATTCCAGAATCATAAAATGATGGCCACATTTTTAATCCAATTATTCCTGCCATAATGTTACAGCACTCATACCGTAAGTGTGAAGTCCAATGCTATGGAGAAGGCCTGTCTGGACACGGTGGCAAAAAGAAAAGTTCCTGCTAATGCTAAACATCATAGTCAAGTAGTTATCATTCCTGTCTCATATTCAAAATATCCCAGGTTCAAATGTTGTTCCACAGATGAGTTATCCTGAGATTTTTTTTGTGGTTTTCCTCAGTAAAAGTAATGTTTGTCTTGGTACATGCCATACAGGCGCTTGGGGTGAGTGTAGGTATAGCTCCTCTCTTTCTCGGCCTCGGCACTAGATCGGGGTGAGTGGTCAGCATCACGCCCCGGCCGGCTTTACCCCCAGGAAAGTAGCCCAGTACCCATTGTAGAGGAGGCTGGGTGGGCCCCAGAACCGGTCTGGACGCAGAGGCTAGAGGAAAAATCCTCTGCCCCCGTCGGGGATCGAACCCTGGTCGTCCAGCCTGTAGCTAGTCACTATACTGACTGAGCTATCCCGGCTCATGGTTTTCCTCAATGCCTTCAGGCAAATGCTTGTATAGCACCTTAAATCAGGCCATGGACCACTTCCTTCCATATCCTATACAACCCATCATTCATTAATAATCCAAACATTCAACATTTTTAGCCTGAGCTACTGACACCATAGTTAAATAAATCACAAGTAAATGAACCATGTCAAGTGGTCTTGTATATGGTTACTACGAGACCAAGAGGCTTCACTGACAAGACCACATAGAGACACAACTCACAAGACCACAATCAAAATACATGGATACACAGACATGGTTGTGGATATTTGTGTAGTGCATACTCAGAAATTGCGCATGGATGGGACAAGAGGTGTGCACCGGGTATTGGTTGGGAAGCCTGAGGGGAAGAGACCACTGGGGAGACCTAGACGTAGATGGGAGGATAATCTCAGGCGGGATCTATGGGAGATAGGAGTTGAAGGAGACTGGATTTTGTTGGCCCAGGACAGGGTCCGGTGGAGGGCTTTGGTTAATTCGGTGATGAACCTTCAGGTTCGGTAAGCCATCTAGTTAGTTAGTTAGTTATACTCAGAAATTCAAGGTAATACAATCTGAAACATGGGTCCACAATCCCACTTCAAATGTTGACAACTGATTGCTCGTCTTTACCATATTTGATAACAGTAAACTCACCTCTCTTGTGATATTATCATTCTTGTACAGCTGTTGCATTATTTCCTTTTCACTCTGTTGTCTCAGTGGTATATCCATTGCCTCGTCATCCATTTGCTTACAGCCATCTGCTGATAACAAGTGAGTACTAATACGATTCTGGTAGAGGCAGTACACTAAGCGCCACGTGTTTCGCTCATTCTCCAGCCATTCCTCACGCTGCCAACATAATTAATTCGTTAAACACTAATATGACTATTATCTCTCTTAACTCAAATTAACCAACTAACCAACTATCTATCTTGCACTTTAGTAATTAATACCATAAAGCAAAGTCCTTCTTGAGAAGTTAATAGCTACTCATTTTACCCTGTGTTCTAGAATTAATAGCACAGGAAGAACTTTCAACAAAATAACACAGAAACATAACTGTTCATACAACCAGCAGATCAAATAATCCACTAGAACTCTGGACATAATCATAATATAAATTATTCTTCTTTATTATGCCGTCTCCTTTACAGGAGGTTGGCGACATATTATGAACAGGATCCTTCCATCCTTTTCTCGAAATGGGACCTGTTCATATATGTTTTTTAGGTAGGTGATACAGAAGTGGTTTGCCATTGCCTTCTTCTGTGTGTATGGAGTATGGGATGCCACGGAGAAACCGGGGAAGCCCCGGAGGAAAGCTCCGTGTTGCCTAGACTACGGCTTTGCCAACACAAGTTATAAATCCGGGCACCGCCGGGAATTGAACCCAGGACTACAAGGCAATAATATAAATACAGCCAATAAATATAAAATTGCTTGAATGAAAACTGGTAATGGATGAACATGACACAATTAAAAATACTGAGCAATGCATATTAACATAAAATGGTAATACATTTAATTACCCATGAAAACCTGTTTTAAAAAAGACTACATTTCTATATTAAATAAACAATACAATTTTTTGCCATCACAATACATGTAAATTTTATTTAAACACTTTTGAACAAGCACAACATTTAAAATTATAAAAACTTGTAATTCGTTTCTTAAAACTTAGAAGTAAGAAGAATGAGGATCAACCTTCTCTCAGGCATGTTGTGTTGGAAGTATGATTTACTTCCTTGTATTTTTTAATATTCTTTTACTAAACAAAAGAAAGTTCCTTCTGTTTGAAAGTTAACAATTCTACAGCAGTTTCAGTTTTTTCCATTAAGAGGTATGATAAGCAGTTAAGGGATACAATATTGTGTTTACTTCTGAAGAAAGCTAAAAAAGAATGTAAAACACAAAATTACAAAAACACATACATGTGACAATGGTACAAATTTCTGAGAAACCTTCCTCTCCATGTCTCTCAGTAGATCCAGTCTATCAGAACAGGTCTGGATGAAGTCAGCCACCGTATCAAACACCTGCTGTTCAGTGCCATGGGACTGCAATGACTCCAGAAATTCCACATACAGCTTGTCTGCAACTAAAAAAATTAAACATTAATCTTTCACATCAACATTAAGGGAATAAAAAGACTGAGATGCATGAGCATTTTATTAATTATGCATTCAGCAGGTCAAGATTAAAACCTTTCTCCCCAAAAATCATAGCAAACTCAAAATAGTTCTTCAAAATTCACCGTATTAATGACTGTAACAATCTAAAAAAAAGAAGTTTGAAAACATAAATCTTAAATTATGCCCATACACACACTGTGGTTTATTTGATAGATCTTTAGAAAAGAATGCCCATGTTATGAACTTTCAAAATGAATGGTGTCATCTGCAGAAAGTCAAATTTTCCACTCACATTCTCAAATGATGAGATGGTTAATGGTAAAAGGATATGCAAGGAAGTGGTCATGACCCAATTTAAAGTAGCAACAGTTGTCAGGAGGGACTGAGTAAAACCACAAAAACCTTAGAACAGCTGGTCTCTGGAGCAAGACATCAACCCAGGACCTCCAGTGTAACATCTATACTAATTACTATAGTTTCACCAACAGTAAAACGTATAATATAAAATGTTCTTTAGCATAACAGTGCATTCACATCCACACAAATTATCCTTAACACAACTGGACACATATGGTAATTACAAAGACCGCATTTGGAAAATATGCCAAACTGAAGTCTAGCCGGCATAAAGCAATATTTTATGAAATGCATATAGATAACATAAAATGCCTTTTGCCTTAGTACTGTTATGAAATATGAAAAGTTAAATATGTACTCACCATTTTTCCATGGCTCTTGTTCTGTAAGTAATGCACCTGTTGTAGAGTCATGTAGCAATTTATTCAGCTCATCTGGTCCAACAGTGACAGACAAATCATGAACATTATGAAGAAACTTACTGGCACCTGTTGTAGAGTCATGTAGCAATTTATTCAGCTCATCTGGTCCAACAGTGACAGACAAATCATGAACATTATGAAGCAACTTACTGGTAGCTTCTCTAGGACCATAACGATCAGAGCCTAAAGGAAGAAAATTAAAAATCCAGCTGTAATTTCAAGGTAGCAAAGGTAATTTTGCAACTGCATGATTATTTATGACCATGTGAGATTAAACAGAGGTTAAAACAGCATCATCTCAGTTCCTGCTACTGCATCCTGCTCAAATCAATTCAAACCTTTCCACACCAATACAACCCATTTCCAAGTTTGAGAGCAAATATATTAGCAATGGCAAGCAAGAAAACATTCCTGCACATGTAAATATGGTATCAACTTTCTATAATATATATATTATTCTATTCTCTAACCAACAAAATTAAAAGTTTATTTCTTGAGACTCAGGTTTACAAAAATACAAACTATTACTATGCTCCAAATACAACAAAATCCTATCAACCACTTGAAGCAAGATCATCTAAATAACAAAACAATTCAGTCCCCCCCCCCATTTTGTACTACTAACAAAAATTGTGTTAAACTGGGTGCAGAGTATGAGAATAAAACAACTTTAGTAGAAAAACTAAATTTCTTGGCCTACAAACCGACAGTAACTTTCAGTGGAAAACACATATTCAATACATACATACTCCATAGAATTTCCCTCAAACAAAAATTATCAGCAATTATATATACATGTAAGCAACAGTGGGAAATAACCTTTACTAATATACTAACCTCTTTTTCGAGTGCCTAGGACTCTACTCTGTGGGGAATTCCTGGACACACGAAGCAAACTTTTACCCGTGAAAGCTTCATCCAAGAGACGAACCGACTTTTCAAGATCTGCATCTGGAATTCTCTTGGCTACTGAACTGGAAATCCTTGGTGAAAATTCCATTTTCAGTTGCAGAGTTCATGGGCCAGTTATTCGATATACGATTAATTGGAAAAAGTAGTTACATGTTCTCAGTACTCATAATTTTCTTAGGTAAGGCAATGCAACACTCACAAAAAATAAGTAACTCTATATTAATACAACGGGACAATGCAAGGAAACCTCTGTATTCTAATACAATCTACCATGTATTCAACATACACTTGCAAACCAACAAACCGCCACAGCCACAGGAAGTAACGAATCAATGATGGTATACGTCTGATGTTCTGTGGTGCAGGAATATAGCATCCAGACCGCTGCTTACCCAACATAATACTGAGCACAGAAGAACAAAGTTGGAATGTCTTTCAGAATTATAAATAATGAAACAATATTGCCACTTTTTGTATTGTCTGAATGTGGGTACTTTATATGACTACAGTCTGAAGTTCTGATCGTAACAACAGATCACTTAAAAGTTATTTTGTCATCCTGAAAATTTTGTAATTCCTGACTTTTGTTGTTGTTGTTTGCTAGAAAGTCATATATTCATATGCGTGGCCTCGTTTCGTGAGATCTGAGAAATGGAATTCTTCTTATTTCAGCTTAATGAATATTCCAGTGTGTAATGTATTAAGGCATAACGAATGGGTGTTGTATAACCAAGAGCTTCATAATTTACACTCTTCACTAAATAATATTAGGGTATTCAGATGGTAGGACCATTTGGGAACCCCAGGCATGATGGGAGAGTAATAGTAACACGAATCTTAAAGAAGTATGATGTGAGAGAGGACTGCACCATTTGGTACTGAATAGTGTCCAGTAGTCAACTCTTGTGAATACGGTAATGAGCCTTAGGTTTCCATAAAATGCGGGGAATTTGACTGTCTAAAAGATTATTAGCTGCTCCGTAGAGTTCGAATTAGGATTACGTCTTACCTGTTATGATTTTTATTTTCTCTGTTCCAAACAAATTCTGCAGGTTGTTTTCCAAGACGGTTTGTTGTAAATTTTATAATTTTAAATGTGTCCTCTCTATAGTTGTTAGTAATAATTGGCAGTGGTTTACTAGGTTTGTTGTTGTTGTTATTATTATTTGGCTATTTTATTCATCCTATAGTCAGCATGTGAGATGTTGAGCGAATAATTCCAGTCACAGGCAACAATTTCGAGATTTAGGAACCTGAAAACCAGCCATGCCACCAGCGTTATAGGGATGATGCAAGCCTGTTTAACGATGTAGGGGTGATGAATTTCTAATGTTTACAAGTAAGTCGTAATTTATCTATTGTATATAATGGGTGGATTTATTTGTAACTTATCTCTACTTTATGTGAACCCTTTGTTTGTATTTTTGTGACATTTATATAATAGTATGACTTGTATTTGTATAACATGTATTGTATTATTATGACTTATTCTACATCCTATTGTCATCTGACTAACTTATGGATCCATGGAATGTAATAAAGATGTATGATACAAATTAGAACAGCCTGCGCGAAATAGCAGTCTACATGCAAGTATAGGGATGTGCAGGTACTGTAGTGCAACAGGCTGAAAGGCGCCAGTGATATAATCAGCTGAGGACGATTGCATCACTCTCTCAGCTGTTTCCGTATCATGCACTCAGCTGTGAGGGGTTATGCTGATCCCCGAGGTCCCTGATCTGGAATGATCCGGTAAAGAATGCAACCTCCTAACCTCTGAACCTGAGATTGCAGCAGGATAGCAGAAGTTCATGGATTCCACTTCAACTTTAGTTTTTGATTTTGCATTAAGCCTACATAGTGTTCACTGTATCGTGGGTATCAGGCATAATTTTCTATTTATCCGATGTGATGTCTGCCGAAGGACTGTCGAGCTGCAGAGATACAAAATTGGAACATGTTCATTCACTAGAAAAATGCCTTGTTATTCAAGGCACAGCTCAACATATAAGAATATCGTAAATTACCGCTGATATAAATGTAAAAATAAAAATGACATTTTTTCTTCTGTACTTCCAGCGTTAAGAATGTAGTTTGTTGTCTTATGGACTTGTACGTACAAAGACAAAATTGCCACGCTTGTTTTCTGTAAATAGGCTGCAATGTAGTTACATTTCGTCAAAAGATAAAAGCGAAGTATTTCATAATTTACTAATATGGACGGAAGTTATACATTTTGCTTCACCCTTTAAGGCATCTAATTAATATTTAAACGTTTTTCGTGACGCCGTGTGGATTTGTATCCCTGAAAATGGGGGCAATATGCTCCTTCGAAGCGCTAGTATCCACCTACAAGTTCTCACAGCGTCACAACTCAGAGAACCGTCATGGACATCATTTCATAAGAACCACAAACATCACAGTGCGTCATTACAATGATCAATTGGTTAATACTGTTTAGGGAAATCGTTTATTCTGAGAATCTTAAGAAACCCATTAATATATTCAGTGGGCAAAATGCAGTCATTTAATATTAAAGTAGGTGGTACATATAAATTATGATTGTGTTTTAAAGAGTTAATACAGATTAGATCACGTTGATTTTTGTTAACTATGCGTTTCATACGATTCTCAGTGTAAACAGCGATTATTTTATTAAACATAATGAACCAAAAGATCTTTGTAATGGAGGAGTTGTGTACTTTCCTTGCAGTATGGACTGAATTCTTAAATATTATTTAAATGACTTTCTGCTTCAAGGGGTTAAATTGAATTTAATGTACTCAGTGTGAAGTTTCCGTCACTAATTAGTAAGCATAATTATAGACATAAATATAAATTATTCTAGGAAATGGAATGAGAATTTAAAAGATTGCTCAAACAAAAGTAGAGTCAGTATCTCAGTAAAGACTGATTTTATTTAAAAAAGCTGTTGAGAATCTATTTGCAACAATAAGTTAGAAACAGCTTTTATAAATTATCACGGCGTTTCAATAACTGCCCACGTTCATAAACCTTGCGGACCGTGAATCGATAAGCTAGGGTGAATATGACCCCCGGTCTGAATGAAGACAAAATCCCCTGGTGTAAATGCTCTGTGATAGCCCTGAACAAATAGCACATTATCATACCTTCGCTTTCGGTCGTAAGCAACGGCCTTAATTTGTAAATTATTGTTTTTCGCTGAAATACTGGATCTGGAAGGAAATGGATCTAAGTACTACGGCAGGTAGTGACGTAGTGAAATTTACTGATATATAGACTGGAAGTTGCAGTCTCATACGTGGGTCAACCGTATTTCAAAGGCCGCGACTTGACCTTATTTTGTATATATTTTAACCTTAGGTGCTGTGTTGTCAACATCGACGTCAGAATTCCGCGATACATACGTCACACCAAACACAAATTATTGGTTAACACATTGCATCAGCCGCAAGTGCAATTACCGAAACTTAGAGAACAGAGAAATATGGCAATTCATTTTATTTTGCAAAAAATCTTACCGTCGATCGCCAATGTTCAAGACGTCTCAACTGAATGGTAAGATGGCGTCCCGAATACGATGTTACGTATTAATTTGCTTATCACGTACATAAATGTATTAAAATATTTCACAGTATCTCTGTCCTATCTTTAATGATAGGTATTTTAAAACAGTTAATAAAATTGTTAATTAGGTAATGATAATGTTTGTTATTACGAATACTTGTATAGCAATTGAAAGGATACATTAGAATATTAACTGACTCAAATATGTATACGACATAGCATTCATGTCTATTATTTTAGACCACTTAAAGAGAACCACCTGAAGATGACCTATTAAGGCCGAAACGTGTAGTGGTATTTTAATAAACATTGAGACCATAATCATAAAATTTGTTCTGTAGACGGACTGTCAACCTAACAGTTAAAAATTAATTGTTATTTTCTCTGATATGTGTCCAATTAAAAGGACTCGAGTAACAGTTGACCTCTTAATGTGGGATAAGCATCGATGTTACAAAGTTATAGGTAAGACTAGCAGAGCGCCCACAGTGTTACTGCGGAAATATTCGACAAATGGCCGAAAGTTTGTCACAAGCCTGATCGTTCAACACGCTTAGTTGAATATCACAGGGAAAAATTTTCATCCCTAAACATAACATCTGCACCGGAACTCGAACCCATCTTCTACGGGAGTTGAACCCAGGACAGATTTTCGGGGGTGTGACCTCTGTTCCTGTAACTTTGGTCTTGGCGTAGTCCATATTCAGCTTCCTAGCTACAGAGACCCGTGACACTTTTTCAGAATTTCGATCTCTCTAAAATGTCTTTCGGGTTCCAAGGTATAAGCATGGCAAGCTTTGGGGGCAAACTGGCTACCGTTCTCGAGCTGTAAGCATACATACCCACGACTCAAATTTTATGTATAAGATAATAGTTTTTCAGTGTTTTGTATGGTTGAGAAACCAATTAAATCATTCAATGCGAGAATCACTTTTATTTTGTTTGATTTTCTCTATAGCATGGTATCCTTGGACGGGATAAGAACAAAATATGTTTATAATTCGTTATGGTTAATTCTTTATAACAAACATTATCACTTGTCACGACAAGTTTATCATTCAGGGAGTTAAACGTATTCCACGTCAGGCGATTGGGATGTTTCATCATTTTCTCATTTCGTAATGTGATATATAATATTTCTTATATTCAAAACTTTTCATGTGTTGCTATGGGAACGCAGCTTATGAATCAATATCTTTCGGAGCTCGGTTCATGGGAGGTCTGCATCGGCAGTCATTCCTGACGTCATATCTTAGCCGCTAATTGTAACGACTATCGTCAACAGATGTTGTATCTCCCGAAGTGAGGCAAGAGGCCAAAACACTTGCCTCGCCTGATAAATGCATGCACAAACTGTGGTTCGCAACAGTTTACTGTGAATGGACATTCCGTTGGTGGTAAATTCCCTCTGACTGTGGAAATTACAAAATGGAGATACAAAAGAGCAGATTAATAACATACATATGAATAAGAATTGAGCTTTGATTTTGCTCATTTCCTGCAAAGAACACACAAACCAATAGTTTGTGCGCTAGATTTGAATAAGTTCCGCATGAAAAATGTAACTAGCGTCCAATTTGTTTTTCAGCGTGGAAATGGTATAGCAAACTGTTGGCCCAGCCATTGTAAAGGCTTACAATAAAATCAACTGCCTAAATGTTCCACGATCACAGAAATAATAAATTAGTCATCCAGTCTGTTCCGGACGCATGTGTAACGCCAAAGTGTGTTTAAAAAACGTAACAAACGTATGCAAACAATAGAACTATGCCTGGCTTTACAGCGCACCTCGTATGCATCCTTCATGTTTATCCTCATAGAACATTCTTATATTCTTCAGATACAGGCAGTACTGTCCGATGTTGCAACCATTTATTAGGCACTACAAAGATGACCCTAGTGGACATTATCACCCGGATGGCAGATTCGTGAGGTCTGAGGATTCGGCCGATGTAAAAAAGGGAACCCAGTTCCTGGAGGCAGTAACACACTGGGACTCTAGATCTGTAGTATTCAACCTTTTTTGTTCGCGTACCCCCAGATATAATTTCTCTTTAACTTTGTACCCCCAAAGTTGTTGGTGTATAATTCAAATTATACATAGTATATAATCTACATCTAAAATAAATTAAATAAATTACATCCAAAATAATGTATTGTATCTGGCCCTGATTATTCAGTGCTTATCATAAAATAATACTTTTTTTTTAAATTTCACGTACCCCCTAAGATGTCTTCGCGTACCCCCGGGGGTACGCATACCCCAGGTTGAATACCACTGCTCCAGATTCAACGATGTCACAAATACGCACAGAAACTTGTCCGGAAGCCTGAAGAAAGCAGCCCGATCATCGGCTACCTGCCTGTACAAATGTTATGTGTTCTAGGAACACCATTCCACTAAAAAGTGCTAACGTAAGGCTCAAGAATCTCCAAAGTACGTATATGAAAATTCCAGTTTTCAAGTGTCAAGGAAAGTGCCCTTCGGGTGGATGTCCTATTTGAATCTGATAAAAAAGTTACGAAAACAGATTTCGTCCTTCGATATGCAACTGATGAAGTCGAGAAGCTAGATCATAATCAGTTACTAGCAACGAGAGAGAATACTTACATCAGAGCTATC